GCCAGCTCTCTTACATGGCATCTTAGAAACACTGATAAAGAAAGAAGGTTCAGTAACTCTTTAAGTTCGCATATAATACCAGATCTTTATGTTTGTCAAAGAATAACCTGATAAAACAGGTAAATCTCCTTATTACACAAATGTTGTAAATAGCCTGTCTTGAGTATTTTACACATGTTTTTTGCAAGTGTCACCCTGCACCCAAATTCCATGTATCCAGACTTCCGTGTAACATTCGTCTCCCATGTTTCTGCTTTTAATAGCACAATGCTGGGCCAGTCAAGTGAATGCACGTACCACTAGTCGACCAGTCCAAGAGACGTACCAACTTGTTTTCAAAGATGTCTCTCCTCTTCCTGATAGCATCCCTCAGTGTCATATCCACCAACAATGAATAGTAATGTGTTAATGAATATGTTATTACATTTCTCTTGAATAATGCATTGAACATTTGAAATTTTCATCCACAGGATCAGTGCATCTCCCACAGAGCATATCTGGCCGCATATTCTTGGCAAGTTGGTGGTTGTTTTGCATCACCATTGTCGCAGTTTACACGGGTAATCTGTTAGCAATTATATCTGTGGCTAAGGAAACGATACCCTTCAATACAATGGAAGAGCTTGCAGAAAATGAGGCCTTCAGGATTATCATTTCTAAAGGGTCAGCTCACGAGGATATCTACAAGGTAAGTATTATAGACAACGAACTGTTCGATAACCTCATGTTCACGTGTTTTGGGGTCCTCGACCGACATGTTGTATACTAATTGTTATGAACAATCTACATATTTGCTGCTTTACTGATGGATCACATTTTGCAAATTGAATTCCATGTTAAGAATAAAATAGTAAGCTACATTGGCCCTGTGTCACAAACCTACTTTACCAATAATTGTACTTTTTGAACGCCTTTCAGTATTCTAATGATAGTGTTAGTAAGAAAATCTGGACAAAGGTGATGGAGACCCGATCTGCAAATATCGGAAACTCTCTGGACGAAGCTCGTCGCTATAAGATGCTCCTACAGTCAGGTTACTACGCATACATTACCGGTTCAGCCATTGTCGATGGATTAGAAAAGACAGTAAAGAACCTTCGAAGGATGAAATGTAGCAGTGGTCCGAAATATATTAGCCTGCCCTTTCCTCTCAAGTCACCTCTTGTGGAGTTATTTTCAGACAAGTAAGGACTAAAATCGTACACGTTTCATATTTAATTCGCACTCTAACACGCAAGAAATTAATATTTTCCGGTGATATATGCGCTTTGGCAATCTCTTTCGGCAATGCAACACACAATTTCTTCTGAAACTTAAGACTATCAGTGAAAAGATGTTTAGTTTGATTGATTGATGGTATGAGTATGGTTTAACCCCAACCGTAGCAATTATAAAGCTGAAAAAATACAAATTGGCTTCATACATTTTAAACATGCGGAGAATCGAACTCCAGTGTTTCACTCAATGGCCCAAGGCTTAAACAACTAGGCTAACCCACCGCTTCTATACTTATATATTTACAGTAGTGTTACACATACGCATTTCACTGTTCCAGATTCCTTCGTCTGTTTGATAACGGCTTGCTGGAAGCCTGGGCAAGAAAATTGTCCAGCACTAAAGGGAAGGAAAGTGTGCACAGAGTGTCGAAACTTTACGTGAGCGACTTGCAGGCTGTTTGGCTCTTGTGTGTATCAGTAATTATAGTAGCCTTCGTTACATTAGGAGTTGAATGTTTCCAAAACTACCGTGAACACAATGACTGATTGTTTATTCTATGTAAACAGGTCCACTTAAACGTTACTGTTGGTTACAACTATAATTGATGCCCTGTTCATTGCATAGGTGTCAGCATATGGTCTACGATATGCCTCAGATAGCATGATAGACGACTATGTGTCCAAGACAGCATGACAGATTTACTTCAGCGGTATGAAAAGTATTGGTGTTCCGAAGCTTTATCAAAGCAGTATATCCACCACGGTTAGCAATCTAAATCTGTCGTAAATAAATGATTTTGTAAGTCGTCGAGTGTCATGATATAGTTTCCTTTGGTTTGTTTTAAAAGCAGTTTGCCAGGACCGGAATGTTTCGTTTGTTTGCTTGTTGTTTAACGAACCCAGCAATATTCTAGCTATCTGACGGCAGTCTGTAAATAATGAAGTCTGGACCACACAAACCAGTAATTGACACCACGAACATCGATCTACGCCAATAGAATACGATGTCAACAAAGTCGGCGATCCTGACCACCTGATCCCATTAGTCGCCATGACATACATGGGTTGCTGTTCAAAGACCAATTCCAAGCGACTGGAATGTCATTTCCTGCATGTGATTTTTTATTAATGGAACTGTTATCTATTTAGAGTGAAATACGCACCGGAAATGTATCGCATACAGTGGTGTATCTTCAAACATCGGGATAATATCGTATTTAGAGATAAAGTACAGTTGAATGTAATTTTACGTTTAGCACAAAAATTATAACGATCCACAAAATTATCCCCTGAATATGTCTCATTGGTAATATTAAATGCAAATAAACCTTGTCTCGTGTTCTGAATTCATGCTGGACACAGAGCCAGGGGGGAACGGATGTGAAAGAGTGAATAGTGTTGTAGCTGTTTTTAGTAATATACTAATAAAATCACAGCAGGGTCGTGAGAAATGGGACTGACACAGTTGAACCATGTGGAGAATGGAACCTTAATCTATGGCGTGAAGGGCACACGCTTTAACCACTAAGCTAACCAACAGCTCCCATATGGCGGGAAACAATTTGATTGGACTAAAAATGAATACCAAAAACAAAACTAACTAAAAACACGAGTTGGCACCAAAGCCTTCAAAATAAGTATTTAAAGGTCACATGCAACCAAAAAATCAAACATAATTAAAACACAATTATCACTTATTCATGACATATAATATACATTGCTGATTATGAAAAAACATATAAACAAAATTATAAGGGTACAATCGCAAATCAAAAGTGCAATATTTTGAACTTGGGTTTACTTCCCTAGAAACGAATCAGCCGGGATACCGAACCCAGTCAGAGCGGGTGGGTGTGCACTCAAGTGTAACGGCTGGTTCATTTGCCGATGCCCTCACGGCTCATTGTGTGTGTATATATAGAGATGTTGGGTTTTGTAAATACATGCTCATTTTTTGTGTATAACATTTTGCAATCAACAGACATCATAACATGTCATGTGTACAAGTATCACACATGCCTGTCTGTGTAATTACATAATGTGACAGAGACCGAACTCGGGCCATAAATCAATGCGTTTTGTTTATGGTGTATAGCCTGATAGGTGTTAAGTTCAAATTGCATGTGGTCAGTGATCGAAGTTGTGTATTGAATATTGTAATTAGCAGACAGACGAGCAGACACATAGCTGTAAATAAAACAGACATTGAGTTTTGTCTGTGACAACGACATATCTATATCACAGTTAGAAATTCTGTCAACGCTAAATAATGACATTGCTTTTAAGTATCGAACTGAGACAGTGACTCGGTAAGAAGAACGTGTGGGGAAATAGACAGATGAAATTATCTAAACAGTTCAATCAGTAATCTACTGTCATAACATATAAAAAGCTCGTGCCTGTGAAGTATCAACAAAACATTAAAACAATAGCTCACACCAAAGCCTTCACCGAGTATTCACTGGACAACCCGCTTCCAAGCTGCGCGATCCTATTTCACCGCGCATGTGCTATGAGTGCAGCCCAGCTGTTGAAACCACTTTTCCCACAAGCGCTGGGGGAAAACTAGTGAATTGTTTTAACTCCGATTTCGCGCAGTTTTTTTCATCGCGTTATTTTTAACTTTATAAGATGTATTTGCATTTTTGATGATTTGTTTCGATAAGTCCATACCGAAAGGTATCAGAATCTGCAAAATTGTGTTTTACGTACCATGTGACCTTAAACAACAACAGTTCATGAACATTCATGCTCTCTTTATTTGTGGTTTCACGCCGCAAAAAATATTCAAATTGTATGCACAGTACCAAGTACACAAAAAGCAGAATACTCCCTCAGAAATCACAGACAAAGAACAAAGACAGCAATGAACAGAAATTCAGACTCGGGCATAAATTAGGTGAGCGGCACATCCTGCTCTTGGCCGTTCTTACACAATATAATTGTGAACAGGTATATAGACATTGACAACAATAAGAACAGCAAGTGGCACGGGATAACAATATTCATTGCAGTAGTCATATGGATTGAAAATCGAGACTAATTGCAATTATATCTTGGCATCATAGTATTTGACCTTTGGAGTTAAATCGCGTAATTCAGTCGATATAACAGTACCGTCCTCATGCTAAAGTGTATTCGTCACACTATGTCACTCTTTAATGCTGACTAAGAGGCAAAGGGCAACTGTCTTGCCCACTGGCTCGGTGATACAAATTGCAGCTGAGCGTTTACATACACAAGCTACAATGTACTTCGAGGTCACGAAGTCAGACATCTGATCAACATTTTACCTAAGGTCCACAACTCTAGCAGATAAATTGTAGTAAAATGCACAGTGAATGTAATCTACTCAAGTTTAATTTCACTTCCATTAATCGATTAGCTTTATGCCGGAAAGAATCAAAATAAAGCTATTGAACATACACGAGTTAATGCACTGACAAAAGCTCACGTCAATGGCATTGTACACATATGTATACTACACAGTAAGAATCCTACAATCGACTCTTTGGAGATGTTGTTGACATTTGTATGACATCCTGTTGTGTTTGCAATTCAGTTGGAAGTTTCTGAACTTCTCAGGGCAGTCATTATTGCAGAGGTGTGTACTAATGTATTACATGGGTTATTAGGTAAAAAGCTATGGAATATCACAACAAACAACTGAAATATGTTTGACATTTAATGAGTGAAATGGAATATAGTCAACCCATTGAAAATATAGATATGCATGTACTTTTATTATGAGGAATTGAAAATCTTAACAATATTGTTCAAAAGTCCAAAAGTTCACATGAACTTGGAAAAAAGCTGACTTTGACAATACAGCAGTGTTGTGTGAGCGTGTGTTATTTTCACTGCTGTTGATGAGGATGAATTGTGTTCTCCCATAAATAAACGCAGAATATGTCCGAGCTGTTAATGTGGTCGTTTGGTATAGACACGCCACCCGAAAACTGTTTCCTTGTTAATGTGATCATTTGGTATAGACAAACCACCCGAAAACTGTTTCCTTGTTCATGTGGTCGTTTGGTATAGACACACTACCCGAAAACTGTTTCATTGTTAATGTGATCGTTTGGTATAGACACACCACCCGAAAACTGTTTCCCTGTTAATGTGATAGTTTGGTATAGACACACCACCCGAAAACTGTTTCCCTGTTAATGTGATAGTTTTGTATAGACACACCACCCGAAAACTGTTTCCCTGTTAATGTGGTCGTTTGGTATAGACACGCCACCCGAAAATTGTTTCCTTGTTAATGTGGTCGTTTGGTATAGACACGCCACCCGAAAATTGTTTCCTTGTTAATGTGATCGTTTGGTATAGACACGCCACCCGGAAATTGTTTCCTTGTTAATGTGATCGTTTGGTATAGACACGCCACCCGAAAATTGTTTCCTTGTTAATGTGATCGTTTGGTATAGACACACCACCCGAAAACTGTTTCATTGTTAATTTGGTCGTTTGATATAGACACACCACCCGAAAACTGTTTCCTTGTTAATTTGGTCGTTTGATATAGACACACTACCCGAAAACTGTTTCATTGTTAATTTGGTCGTTTGATATAGACACACCACCCGAAAACTGTTTCCTTGTTAATGTGGTCATTTGGTATAGACACACTACCCGAAAACTGTTTCATTGTTAATTTGGTCGTTTGATATAGACACACCACCCGAAAACTGTTTCCTTGTTAATGTGATCGTTTGGTATTGACACAACACCCGAAAACTGTTTTCTTGTTAATGTGGTCGTTTGGTATAGACACACCACCCGAAAACTGTTTCCTTGTTAATGTGATCGTTTGGTATAGACACACCACCCGAAAACTGTTTCCTTGTTAATGTGATCGTTTGGTATAGACAAACCACCCGAAAACTGTTTCCTTGTTCATGTGGTCATTTGGTATAGACACACCACCCGAAAACTGTTTCCTTGTTAATGTAGTCATTTGGTATTGACACACCACCCGAAAACTGTTTTCTTGTTAATGTGGTCATTTGGTATTGACACACTACCCGAAAACTGTTTTCTTGTTAATGTGGCGTCACACATGGTATTATGATTCGACGAACATTGAAAACTATTTGTTTGGTGCCATACCTTTTTGTCAGAGGTTACAAAGTTTGGTGAGCATTTAACTTTGCCTTGCACGCGTTCATCACGAGTCAAAGGTTGGACATGATACACCCACCTTTTCACAAACACCCGGTCTTATCATTATCTGATCATGATGCATGAATACATACTCTTGATATAGTCGGAATCTTACAATCGACTCTGTTTTCAGCATGCTTTTTACTTATGAACATGAAGAGGGTTTTGTAACCTTTATTCCATTTGCTAACGAAGATTCAACCCGAGGGCCAACCGATGTTGTCTACAACGGTCTTGGATATCGTATGTCTCACATGTTACTCAGACACCAATGGTCAGGATAACCCTTATTGTTTTGCCAGACAATACGTCATCGCAACTACCTTGGTTTCGTTACATTTGAACAATTGGGTACACTCCAGAATAGGCATAATATGAAAAGTGAATTTCGAGTGACCCCACCCACCCTTTTAATGTAAACAGAAACAGTTTTTGTAATGGGAGCATGACCATATATAATTTTTAAATATGATCATACTTAAGCCTGAACACAAAGGCTGTTTGCATAAATCCAATAAATATTAAAGAATATTACTACCACTCTTGACCAAACTGAGAACTAGAATTTTCTTTTGACGTACACTATAATCTGAATCAGGTCGAGGTTCCATTCAATATTCTGGTTTGTTTATTCCAATTAATCATGTTGTGATAACGGTCATTTTGCACCTGCGTTTATATTCCCCAATGGAATGACTGCGTTTTTAAGTGAAACCATAGAAATGCGGAGTTTGCCAAACATACTGCTATTGATTTTCCACTGAGAATTCCATCCCCATCTGCTACCGATAGAATAAGCTGCATTTATCCAGGTGGGAAGTGATATGAGGATTGTAAGTAGCGGTGGTGACCTGAAGTTTATCATCGCCATCCAGATTATTATAATTGTACATTTGCATGTGTGTGTAGGTGTGTTCGTATGCGCGTGTGTGTGCGTGTACATGTGAGTGTGTACCTGACCAGTCCTATGGTGTTCATATCGTGTCCAACTGAAAATTGAGATGATATGTAAACCTAGAAATGTATAAGCAAAAGACTTCAGTGTGACACCACGAACAGCAAAGAAATATAATACTGTTCTACAATTATCTTAAATTGATGATGCACATGAAGTGCGAAGCAGCATTCGATCTGCGCCTATTAGGAAACGCTATAAAGACAACCCATGGATCTATGGGAGGCAATCGTCTCAATGGAGTCTAAAAGACAGATAAAGTGGACGCAGCAAAACAAGTAATGAAAATAGTATCAGTTTATTTTCATAATCACAATTGATAGTACTAGTTTCAATGAAAGTCAAAGCTCTTTATTTTGATATTAGCCGAAGACAGTTGAGAGAAATCCTTCAAAAAGGATACACGTTATTTATTACACTCCCTCAATAAAGTGTCCTAAAATGATTGTCCTCCTGAGAGGGTACGTAAGTCAAAAAAACTTTCAAAGTCAATTTCGCTCAACCATACTTTTTAATCGTAGTATTTTTGTTATTTTAATTTTGGCTAAATCTTCCTAACATCGCCAGCGGCTGAAGGGATGGTGTAAATCCAGCTTGGGTCCATGCAGGTAGCAAAAGTAACGTAAGTCCCTATGGTTCCTAGTATGGTGATCTATCTTCAGTTGTTGGCGATCTACAGCCCGTGTTTTATATCGTACTGTCTTCTTCGATTAAAATGTTTTAGTTTTACATGCTAGTTTTATATTCATATCTGTGATTCTCTAGTATTTTTACTGTCCATCGACGACAGGTTTTACACTTTAAAATGTTCTCATTTTCTACTGTCTAAATTGTTTTCGTCACGATATGGCTGAGATATTGCCGATGTGACCTTAAATATAAACTCACTCACTCACTCTCTCAATAAAGGCGACATTACGCAATATTCACAGTAATAAAAACACGTCGGCGCCATAGAATACCAAACCCAGATCATCTGAAACTACAGATTCCAGTGGGTGTAAAAGGTCAAGATGCTGTGAAGATTATATGAATGGTTCACTGAAAATAGTTGATGATGCTAAACTTATGTATAACACATTGGCTGTACCATGTAGTGCGACAGGAGAATTTCAGAAGGGACACAACAACCAGGTATAACTATATAGATGTCATATATGTAACAGATGATTAAAATCTTGGATAATACGTTCTCAGGAAAGTGCGGATTCTAGTACATTGTAACAGTCTCACTCAAGACACGAACCCATATTCTCAGCGTGAGACACCAAATCGCCAGCACGCAAAGTCAGCGACACATTCAGCCATCGCGGCTTCCACAAGAAATGTATTTCTGAGAACGAGTAGTCTGGATCATACACTTTTTATACCTCTCTGGCCACTGTAACTTGGAACTGGTCACACGGAAGAAAACTGGGAATTCACAATGCCTTTCAGAAAATGGTCAAATATAACATGTATTAGATTTGGAAACACGCTTGTATATTTATTTTCACAATCTTTGGCCACACTTCCAAATACAGTTTGTCGTCCATCTCCTAGGCCTGAAAATAGTGGTTAGATTGTTAGATTTACATACAAGCCTTGGACAAACTCAAACGTTAGCATCTCATGCCGAAGACCTGGGATTAGTGCAAAGCATAAAACAATTTCTTGTTGATTAAAAGGTGAGAATTTGTGGATGTCAGCTTCTTTGCAATATTGCTACAAGCTACAAGCAGCGTAAAACCATGTTCATAAATTGCCTCACTAAAATTCTAAAGATACGATCAAACAATTATTCTTATGTGTGGCATGGAGCAACAAATGCTTTGAGTAGAACGTCTTGTATGGTTTAACAAGTCACATGAAGTAACTGAAATAGCATACCAGATATATATGATGACACTGGACGATTAATACCTGTTAGTAAAAACATAATTCAATCATTGTTTATACCATAATTTAGTGGCTGATATTCTACCCAAAGAAGTCAAAGAATATGCAATTCTTTCATATTACTATGGGTAATATGTGTGGTCATGATTGCTCAGTTCCTATACCAGAGAACAGTAGTGCTTACTTTGGTATGCTATGATAAATACCGTCTCTCGTGTCTCTATTTAAACAAGATTTACCGATGCAACAGTAGCAGTGATGTACACGTTTGTTTTCAGAGGATATTCAATCAGCTTTTGTTAATACAGTAGTTGAGGACACATTCGACTCCTAATATAACAAACGCTACTGTAATTCCTGATAGACACATGACCCATACACTCCGCAAGTTACTGATGTCAATCTTCGGTCTTGCTGGTACATATGGCTCATGCTGTGTGTTGTACCACTTTCTTGCCAGGGCTTCCAATACACCGTTATCATACAGACGAATGAGTCTGAAAACAAGAATAGTTAGATTTGTTATTCCACTGCACAATATCTGAATCTTTTGTTTTATGGGTGGAGGAATGTAACTAGTTTGTAATTAACGGCACATTCTATTTTCCCGTTTACATCTCCATAAATTACACATTAGATCATCAACACATAACAATGAGGACCACAATTACGACAAGTGCAAGGAAACTGCACCGACGTATATATCAGTGGCTAATATCATTAAACTATAAACATAAACATTAGTACTTACTTGTCTGAAAACATCTCTGCAAGAGGTGAGTTGAGAG